AATAAATGATTTTGAAGTATCGTAAAGAGAAGGCAAAAACATATATGGCCAACATCTCTTTGTCTTCTATATCCTTTAAAATGGTATCTCTGGTAATTTTCTGAATAGATAAAGCATAAATATACAATTATTTTTATATGGCCAACATCTCTTTGTCTTTCATATCCTTTAAAATGGTATCTCTGGTAATTTTCTGAATAAATAAAGCATAAATATACAATTATTTTCATCACATATCAAATTGATCATCAATCGCCTACAAAGTCCATATATACCGGACTTCCTTTTTTATCATACAGGAACACTGTAAAATCGATGAAAGTAATAATGATATCTCTTCTCCTCTTCTGAGAATTCAGCTTACAAAGTTTTTGCCTTTGTTGAGAAGCAATGGACCTTTTCTCGGACATTATTTCAAAAGCATGCCAGGGCACATTGTATATTTTATCGATGTTCTTTAGTTGCTTATTCTTTATCTCCTCATGCTTCCTTGTTTAATCCATATAATTTCTGCAACAAAAAAATATTTTAATAAACAAGTTTACATTTCAACCTAAATGTAGAATCAAGGGAAATAAAAATACAAATATATGCACAAACAAGACGCCCATCGGCAACATTAAAATGTCTTAAATATCATGATTCAAGGGTTATATATACCAGTACCATTTACCTGCAGCAAAAAACGGCCACAATACCTAACGAGTATCTTTGACTCTGCTATAATAAAATATCATTTTTTTACTAGAAATTCTAACATATAATTTTTTTGTGGTGGATCAAGATTTGAACTATTTAGAATGGAAACTACCCTAGAATGCTTAATCAAAAATTTCAACCTTTCTGGCCCATAGGTTCTTTAAAAGACTTTTTCAAATGGTTTTATATCTATTTTAATGTATTTTTTATGTAGCCTTACCCTGAACCCGGAACCTTGGTTTAAACAATTTTGAATCTACCGGAACACTACCCCATTTTAATTCCACATATGTTTCAGTTTTACTGCTCAGTGGGCCTATTCCAAAAGAAGTCTATATAAGTTTAAATGTACAAAATCGATTCTCAATCGTAGCATCGCCCTATCCCTTGGCTCGTTGATTTGAAAAATTAGGAATCAACACTTCCTCAGAAAATAACCTAATGATTTACAGCTATTCTGGCCCAGTGGTTCTTTAAAAGACGCTTTGTAATGAACCCTTTCGATTTCTATTTTTTAATGCTGTACATTAAATAAACCTCTTGTGCATTGTCAGATTACATCCCTGCATAATGTGGTAAGTTTGACGACACAGCGAATAGTTTAAACTCGCAGATCGTTGAAGTTACATCTATTTTTTTTTTTATTTAATTTTTTTTTATTGTTCATCAATCTTTTTTTGTATTACATCTTGGTTCCAAAACAGTCCATAATTTAACATGTAAATGTAAATAGGATAACCCTACTTTGCTAGGGGGCTTAGCCCTTTATTCTGACAATTTAAATTTCCCTCTACCTATGTTGTACTAAATAAGATTAAAATTGATTACGTGGTTCTCGAGTAAAAGTTGGAAATGTGACATTTCTGAGGACGGACAGACAAAAGGTGCTCAGGACAACTCACTTTAGGTTTTATCTAAGCTGATCTAAAAAAAAAAAAAACTTCAAAAGGAAACACATTAAAAAAAAACAGCAATATAAAATAAAATTATTCAATCTAAATGTTGAGCTTTATAAAAAAAAAAGTAAAAGTCCATCGTATGAAAGTCTTCAATATTATAAAAAATATGAGGGTTGTCCCAATATCGTAGACTGGGCTCATATTTTTTAAAGATATTAATGTATCTTCATAAGATTTTTTTGGTGCATAAATCGTGTTCTTGGTAGATAAATTACGAGGATTTATCATGTACATTTGAAAACAATTTGAGTAATAAGATATAAAGTGATATCGTTCCCTAACACTCGGAGCATTCCGCAACGTCAAAAACGACAAACGTCAACGATTTAAAGTTTTGGAGAAAATATTCCAATTACCATCATCAAATTCTTTAATTAAACAAAACTACTATTGTTATAAATGTAACATATCTTGATTACTATGATATGATCAAACATAAAAATATGTCAACAAAGTAAATGCATGTACATGTATGAAAAAATAATAATTTGATTGATTGATTGATTGTATATTGTTTAAGTCCCTCTTGAGAATTAATTTTTCACTCATATGGAGACGTCACCGTATGCCTGTGAAGGGCTTCAAATTTAGACCTTTACTCGGCACTCAGGGCCATCGAGCAGTGAGGGTTCTTTATCGTGCCAGCGCCTACCGTGACACGGGACCTACGTTTTTAAGGTCATATCCGAAAGACCCGTGACTTTCACTTCTAGTGCCGAGCGCTTAGCGAAGGAAGAGTCACTACCTTTGTTTACGTCTTAGGTATGACGCGTTGCCGCGAACAAGAATCGAACCCGGGCCTCCCGATCACAAAGCGAACGCTCTACCACTAGGCTACCGTGACCGGTCAATAATTATTTGAAAACACTGTATTTCAACGGGGTTTTCCGTTAGAGATTTGTCTGTCTTCTCTAATGGAGTTGCATAGTGATAGTCTTGTCCGATTTTTGTCTTTTTTTATGTTTCCCTTTTTCACATACGCAGAAAAACCACTGCAGTCATGGTAAATACGAAGTACCAGAAAACATTCGGATTTCAACCCGGTGTAAATAAAACGTTTTAAAATTCATATCTGTTAAAGAATAAACACCAAAACTTGAGGAAAAATAGATAATAAAACAGTTTTAAGAATTTTCATTTCCATTTGAAAAATAATGAGTAGTAATTACTTTTCCTTATGTTTTTTAATATTATATACCAATTTTTAATTGCAACTTCTGGTTAATGCGCCGCCTTCTGACACAAGATAATAAAATGTGTCGTTTGAAAAGGAATTCTTTGTGTTGATACTCTATATTGGTCCATTAATTTGTTAGATAGTGTTGTTTTAATCTATGTAGAAAGTTTCATTGAAGGAGGACATCGTGTTCCTAGAAAACAACGCTTGTCTACGGAATTTTGGGACATCCTCCGTATAACATAAGTTGAAATAAGCTTCATTCCTTAAATCAAAAAGCACAGCATTTTATCATTCGATATCATGACTGCATTTCAATAAGTTTAAAATAAGGAAGTTTGATACTATTAATTTGCATCATCACGTAACAGCAAAATTGATAATATATTTCCTTGTGTATTTTGTCTAAATACATGACGGATGGGATTTCAAAAAAAATATCAAGAAAATCTCTTCTCACCACTTTCCAGGAACGAATTTCAATATAAAAAAACAAACACGTACCCGGTACTTTAAACGTCTGTCACCTAAAATAAGTTAAAACTTGATCCGATTGGCATTAAGATGAAATCAAATCGACGATTACATGTAATATCCCCTTGCATTGGAATTAGAGGGGATATAGTATATATTGGATCAGTGAGATAATTCCGTGTGAAACAGAAATTACGTAAGTTACATTGGGATTGATATCGAATGCTGCCTTGATTTACAGATATGCTCTTTGCAAGGGGATGCTCCGCTTTCCACTAGTTAGAAAAAGATTTGATAAATGAATGATCTGACAAAAATGCTCAAATGTTAAATGAAGTCCACTTGTAAACTAACGAAAAATAGTTTTTATTATATAAGAGACCGTTACAGATTTTCCTAACTAACCCCCACCCCTACCCTCTCCTTACTCACCCTATATACTTCATGAAATAAAGCAAAAACTTTGCATTATAGACCTAACCACTTATTTTAAAAAGCAATCGAAAAATATCAATGCAAATATAGCAATCTGAGGGTTAGCATTTTTAATTTGAGCAAAAAAACTGGTTTTCTAATAAATGAGTACAATTGGTTCCAATATAAATTCTCCCAGTTCGTCCGAACATTTAGTTAATGGTGTCAATGAGGAACTACAATAACCTTTTACCGTCAAAGTTAAACTACTCATGAATAGTATATATCAGTGTGATTTCAACGCGATTATCTTGTTGATGACCAAACACAAGATACGAAAATTTCTGAGTTCTTTTTTTTATTGAAGAATAAAGTAATCGTTCAAAAAATCTAGTTTTAGTAGAAATGCTGATATATTTATATAACCTTTCAACTTTCTAATACGAAAATGATATTTTTTTTAAAAATGTATTCTTTATTTTATTTCTAAATAAATGAATCCATTTTGACAATGTGTTAATGTCTTTGATATACATGTATCTAGATTTTTCGCATATCTTCAACATAATTTTAAGAGAAGTGAAGTTTTGTCGATAATTGAAAGTTTGGGGCTCCCGGAGTTGAGGTCCCTTGAAGATTACTGATACGACAAAGATTAAGAAAAAGCGGTCTTAATCTATGTTTATTGGTGTAGAAAACAAAATCAAAGTCGATTAGAATATTATTAGCAAAAACAAGGAGCTTCATTTTCTGAAATTTAATAACAATAACTACTATAGATTCATATATTTTAGGGGATTTTAAAATACTTAATTTATCATTGTGCTATCTTACAATTAACAATATATAAGCTCTTCAATATAGATTCGATTTATTTATTTTCCTAAGTATCCATCCAGCTAAAAGCTCTACAGGTAAACTGTATGTATGCTGAGGATATTTTTGTTTATTTTTATCTAGAGTGGCCTTTTTTGCTGTTGACCTTTTTACATTTTAAATCATTTGTGATCAAATTTTATTTTTCAAACTTTATGAGAGCATATAAATTTCAAATCTTCATTGTTGCTTCATACATTTATCGTGATTCCACTTCCTTCAGTGTAAAGAACAGCTAATTTTTTTAGTGACCATTTAGTAGGATCGGTACAAGAGTGCATGCAAGGAAACTAAAATTGCGGAAGAGATTATATTATCATATTATCATAAAATGGTTTTGAAGTGGTGTCTATGTCATTGTAAATTTTGATTGTGAGATGTACATTTGCAGCCAGTATTTTTCGAACTGTATCAAGTAGTTAAAATGGGCGTCTGTTCAATTCTCAGATTTATTTTACTAATCACTCGGATTCAATTTATCCACGGACAAGACGGTAGATGCTTCGGGTATGATTAAAGCATGATTTCGATATGATTTTTATCCATTACTGCAATCCATATTCTAGAACAAATTTATTTTGTTGTGTTGTTGAAAAATTCTTATCATTATCCTGATTCAAACTATGTTTTGATGTGTGTAATAAGTTTCTTAAGTCAAACAGTAAATTAAACAAAGGCGTTGACATATATAACAAAATAATTAATCTTTCTCTACATTGTATTCCGAGAAGAAAAAGATAATTTGATATGATGGTTATTTCTCTCAATTTGTACATGTAAATATAAAGAAAAATGTTCAAATAAAATTGTTAAGATATATATACATGCATTAAATTTCTTACTTTTTTCAGTTTTAAAGTATTTAAAATTAAATTAATATTTAAAATAGAATAAAGAACATGTATTTTTGATTTGAACACATAAAATCAAACTCAAGGAGAAATAAAACATCAGTATGTTGTTATAGTTTCTGGTTCAAACGAATAATTACATGTACATAGGAATATCAGTTTGGGGGACATTTTCAGTCAGAGAACTCTACAAATAAAATTTAAGTAAGCATTTTGAGTGAGACACAGCAATACCATTTTAGTTTGGTGCACTGCAGCATACAAGCTCCCTGAAGACCAAAAACGTCATCATGAACTCATGAGACATAACTAATAATAGGTAGAGCTAAAGAGGGTGTGTTTCATTCTTAGGGTAGCTAGCTAAGTTTTCTATTTCAAATTGTCTATCTTAAATTTCAAAATATTAATATCCGATAAAATATCAATAAAACTCATTAATGTCTTCCAATGCTAATCAGGCTCACCGCAGCTAGTTTTTGCTAACTATATATAAGAATGACTAAAACTCGTTCTTAGAGATGAATAATGTCATTTATTCAAATGATGAAATCAAAGACAATAAAACTCATTGCAAAATGATATTTCTATCAGTTTCAAAGTCATTCACCAGGAATACATATCTGTCTGTCTGCCTGCCTGCCTACTTTCAGCTATTTCATAGATGAAAAATGGGAAAATGATAATGACTAAGATTATTGTCCCTTCAAATAATAAACAAAAGGAAGTATTTCTCAAAACATTTTATATTGATGTCATTTTGCAAATATCAATTGTTCTTAAGCTTGAAAGGGAGATATCGAACAGTATTCAAGAGAAAAAGTCCATAAAACAATAAAAAACAGGAGCAGAGCAAAAACGGACCTCCAAAACATAAGAAGTGGGATCAGGTGCCATGGAGAAGTGAATATCGCCGGCCTACTGGTGACAACCGCTGTGTACTTCTTATCATGATAGGAAAATACAGTTTGTAACGGAAAATCCATCGTCAATTTGGTATATAAATAATGGACTAACAATAAGTATTAAAAATAACTCAGTCCACGAATAATTAAGTTAAAGACAAATTCCCTTTTCTGATATTTAAGTATCGCATAAGTATAATTTTTAGCGAGGATTTAATTTTGGCATTATTAGCGAGGGTGCCGAGATCGCTAAAATTGAATATCGCTATAAATTAATTGCATTTTATTTGTTATAACTTCTTTAACGTGCAATTTAAAATCGCTGAAATAACATCTTGCTAAAAATGAATTTCCTGTTTTTCAGGAAAAATCGCTAAATTGGCGTCTCGCTAAAATTTCAACTTATACGGTACATGTATAATTACTTCACTTACTATTAAGCAACGAGTTTATCTTTTATCCTTCTACAGTCCCTGAAACGTTCTACTTTCCCATTTTTCCGTTCGCTCACCGTTCGTTCACAGTTCGTTCAGCGTGCGTTTACCGTTCGCTCTTCGTTCACAGTATTGCGTTCACCGTTCACCGTGCGCTCGCGTTCACCGTTCACAAAACGTTCACGGTTCGCTCTTCGTTCCGTTTACTTTACGTTCACCTTGCGTTCACCGTTCACTTATCGTTCAGTCTTCATTGTCATTCGGAACTCCGAAGTGAAAGGACTTATCTTTTTGATGGTAAGGATTTACATGTTTTTTAATTAAATAACTTAGATATCGTGTTTGAAGAATAATTATTTCATTGGAAAAATTATCTAAGATATTTCTATTTCTATCATTATAACTCAGTTGTTACTTATTACATGAATTTTCCCTGGAAAATAATTAATACATTAAGTACCTACATGTATGTAGAACGATGCTAAAATATTAACTTCAAAAAAGGGCAATGTACAAATGTTTCACCCACGGCATCAAATGGATGTAATTTTAAAGAGGACAAAGTATTAATGGATGTATAATAATTAATCGAAGTCTTTTACAGAACAAGAATACATAAAAAAAAATTTCTACAGTAACGCGTATTTAAACTACATATAGGTTTGAGAGTTATGAACAGTACTGCAAATATTCAGTTAATTAAATATCTTTAGAGATAATTAAATTGATGATGTGGTTTTAAATTTTAGAAAAGACCAACTGTTTAAAATAGTCATTTATTAGAGAAGGAAAATTCCTTCCTTCACCGTACCTAAACATATGTTTAAAAATATGTTTTTTGCCATTCAGTATAATTTAGACCCCCCCCCCCCAGTTGTCTTTTCTCTTGAAATAAAATTCTTATTGAGTTTTAACGGTATATTTTAATTTATATTTAATTTTTATTGTAACAGAAGAAAATAAGTCTTAAAACCAACATCAAACAGTCATTAGACAATAGTATTTTAGTATAAACTTGTGCCGACAGAAGTATTTTAAATTGGCAAGGAATATGTTTCACATTCAATTTAAAACTTAATCCTTCCAAGTATATATTCGAATTATTTTTTTTCTGCAGGAATGCAAAAATCAGATCTAGAAATGATTGGGAAAAATATTAACATTTCTTTGAATACTAAGTGACTTTTTGCCTTCGGCATGTTCGGTGAAACGCGATTTCCACATCTCCACTGTGTCGAATTATTTTGATTGACAGCACAAGAACGCAACTACAAATGTAGCACGGACTTCCTGAGAACTGTGTGAACTTGATGATGGAAAATAAAAGCCAATGATAACTGTCAAATCGATTTGTTATTCTTTATAAAAAAGATTACCTTTATTGCTTGGAATATTTAGGAAAAATAATATGAATTTTTATTTAATACAATATATATCTGAGAATCTAGGGGATTATCTCTCTCTCTTAATGTCTCTCTCTCTCTCTCTCTCTCTCTCTCTCTCTCTCTCTCTCTCTCGTACATTTCTCTGTTCAATAAAAATTATGACAACACATTACTTATTTAGTTTTGAAAATTTAATCTACGCATGTATTACAAATAATTTGAATGCCTCTTTCCAACATCTTGACCGAGTATAATCACGGCTCGGAAATGTCTACAGATACATATAGAAGTTAGCTAAAATAATCGTCATAAAAGAATAAAACGCACATGAATATAGAATATTTTGCAGTAGAATTTAAATAAAAAGAGATTTTTTATGCAGTACGATAACAGTCAATGTCAACAGATAATTGTGAATTTTATTTTACTCAGAATCGCTTTGGCATGGAAATACATGTACGGTTGTTTCAACCCCGTACAATGTAATTAATTTATTCTATAAGTAGTAGATTTATCTTCAGAAGTCCACATTGTTTTATTAGTGAAAGAATAAGCATACTTATTTACTATATCGGTAGATTAATTTATTTTTTAACTACACGCGGTAACAAATACACATTTGACGGCGATTAAAATCATGCTATTAAAATATCGATTTAAACATAGGTATATGCAGAAAAAAAATGTTTTTATTTATTTATTTATTTATTGATTAATTCATTAATTAATTTATTTATTTATTTATCTAATGTTTATCTCAGTAGTAGTTTCATCTTCTGAAGTCCACATTACAGTACAGTAAAACACGTTTAGTACGAACACGGATATAGCGAATTAACGGATATAGCGAAGTTTTTCTTGGTCCCCGGCAAAATTATTAACAAATCTTTGTAAAATTTTACGGTTATAATGAACTCGGATATAACGAATTTACGGATACAGCGAACTGATTTTGATTCCCGTTGAGGTTAAATATAATGAATTTTACATCTTTTATAACGAACTTTCAAAGATTTCAAAATTTGAATAATTGAACTGACTTTATTTTCTCTCAGCATTTGTATATAAAATTCAGTTCATAATAAAACCTTAGTAATCGAAGGTATGTTTTGTAATATTTGTTTCCCTAACATATTTGATAGTAACACTTGAAGGAAAACATGCATATTGCGAATTCGCTATACATGGTTATACGAATTCGTTATACGGATATAACGAATTACGGACATAGCGAATTAAATTCACAGGTCCCCAGGACTTCGCTATAACCGTGTTTTACTGTATTTTATTAATTTAAAGAATTAGCATAATTATTTACTATATAAGATTAATTTATTTTTTAACTACATGTACACGCGGTAACAAATACACGTTTGACGGCGATTAAAATCATGTTATTAAAATATCGATATAAACATACGTATGTGCAGAATTTTATTTTTATTATTTATTTATTTATCTATTTATTTCTCTTTTGTTTATCTATTGTTTATTTATATTTATTTACGATATTTGAACTATAGAATAAAAGAATAATTTCAATGCAAGGAAAAGACCAAAGGCATTCCGAATAAATCGTTCATCTTGCGTTCACCGTTCGTTCACCGTTCACTTTGCGCTCGCGTTCGCGCTCTGTTCGCGTTCTGCGTTCACTCACCGTTCACCGTTCACACATGGTTCACCAAGTTGCGTTCACCGTTCGCACATCGTTCACTCACCGTTCGCTCTGCGTTCGTTCAGCGTTCGTTCACCGTTCACCGTTCGTTCACCGTTCAGATGGGAAAGTAGAACGTTTCAGGGACTATAAGTATGTTATTTTTTCTCTCCAATCTTACAATGAAAAACAAAGTATGATTCCGAGGCCACTGAACATCACAAAGAGAAAAGAATAAAAGAATATTTCAAAATTGAGATATGCTGTTTATGACAAATGAATATGAAAATACTTCTTCATGCAGTTGTAGGCTTTTGAAATTTAACGAATATAAATAACTATTCTCTGTTACCACTGTGACTTGTAAAGCGTTGTCACTTTTTCAAATTTGTCTGGAGATAACATCCTTCTAAAGTGTATGCTCTACAAAAAAGATAAACATTGCTCGATTAAATTAATGTTTAGAAGGTATGTGACATGGAAAAAGTGTAAAAATTTGTATTTTTTCTTATGAAAAATGCAAAATTCTGAAATGTCCTAAAATGAAAAGTAATTGACTCACTAAGAAAGTGTACGCTAATGTATCGAAGATTTGAAAATTTACATCCTTTTTTTTTTTTGTTTTATCAAACTAATTTCGGGAGGAGAAAACTGAACCGTAAAAATTAATATTATGCTTATTGTATTTTAGACCATTAATATGTTGCAGAGGATTTGAATACGACCAGGAAAGAAATATTTGCTCTCGTAAGTGTAATTCTAGTCTGTCTTAGCCGTCCTCTCTTTCTTACTTTAAAACAGTCTCAATCATGATCACGTCATTTGACTGTTTTATATTTTAACACATTTCTTACATTTATTACATACATGTATATAGCCTGTGAGTATCCGATGTTCGGTTCAGAATGCAAAGGGATTTGCAATTGTTCTATGGAAAACTGCAACAGATTTCACGGTTGTTTTCTCAACGAAAACATAACGGGTAAGTGATAAATGTAATGAGGGTTTTTTTCTGGTAAAGGATTGATTGATTGATTGTATTGTTCAATGTCCCTCGACAATTTCTTACGCATATGGAGACGCCACCAGTTGCCGGTGGAGAGCTGCAAATTTTCTTCTATACTTTGCACTCAGGGTCTAAGGCGATACGGGACCTCGGTTTAATACAGTCTTATCCGTAGGACCGCTCTATACGTCCAACAGTGGGATTTGAACCCGCGGAGTAAGAATCAACTCTTTTATTACTAAACTTTAGAGCAGACGCTCTTAAACACACAGGCGACTCTGGTAAAGAAAGTCTATAATTAATGTAGCTAGCAAAAATGCAAGATGGCATTTCCTTGATTAATCATCAAGAAAATAAAAAATAACATATAACAACATGTAAACCATGCAAATACATTGATGTCTTAAACAACATTTAAAATTTTCATGTTTCAGTTACTATCCAGACTTCGTACAAAGGTATTATATATGACAAATTCAAAGTAAAAAATGTAATAATTTGGAAAAATCATATAAAATTGTAAATTTCATTAAATAAATAATAAATATTTTATACAACAATTTGCAAAACTATCACAGTCATCAAGCATGTCCTTGACAGAAAATTATATTACTTTTATTTAGAATTATATCATTTTTTTTAATTGATAGTTTCAACAGTTGTAAGTACAACTAACATAGATGACAGCAGTGTTCAAGATTTGACATCAAAATCATCGAATGCAATGACTACGATCACAAGAAAGCAAACTCATGGTAAGCAGGTGTGAAGGTATTACAGAACAAATGACGTAGGGAACATTTAAAAAAAAGAATCATAAGATATTCTTTCCACATAAGCAAAATTGCTTAATTAAATTACATTTTACATATACTCAACGAACAACTGTTAACGATAAACATCTCTGAAAAAAGTGTACCTGAAACTATCCGTAC